ATAAGCAATAATAGGAAGGAACAAGGGTTTTTGCTGGTTGAGATAAGGATAGCTATTGACAAAGAAATATATTGACTTTGCTATGTAACTTGCCTACTTTTTGTTTCTTTCTATGGCAACTTGAATCTGTTCTCAGAGATTGTTAGCATTTTGTACAAACTTCAGTGCAATATGGACATCTGCTATCTTGTCATTTTTCTTAAAAGTGCTGACTCCTCTTTCAGATTCATTATCAAATTAAAGGTTTGCTACTCACAACTTTTGCACACAACCTTTTTAAAGGTTTCAGATCAAAGAGGTTCTAGTGGAATCATGATGGGTTTTTTCCACTGCATGTGCTTTACCTTTTATTTTTCCTAGAGATACAATTTGAGATTGACTACAAATGTCATTTTTGGAGCCTCCTGCTCCACTCCTCACTCAACATTCTTAAGTTAGGTTTCCTAAAGTAAATGTGTGATTTTGCTTAGCAGTCCATCTTTGCCATTGTGCATCCTATAAGAGCTGTCTTCAAGATTTTCAAAATTTCCCTTTCTAAAAAATGAAGTCATCAACAAGTCACAGGTATATTTTATACTGCTTTCAGCAAAGTGAAATTGCCACAGGCAAGACCAGATAGCACAGGTCCTCTGTCATGATATATCCTGTCTCTGACCCACATCTATAAATTTATATTCAAAAGCATCACAATATCCACCATGTGACCACAGTCACATTTGCTTCACTGTCCTTTCATACTCACCCAAATGTTCTCCATCATTTTCCAATTTCTGTTTTGAAGATTCCCATAAAGATGTGTCTAGAATGTGTATTTTACTTATGGTTCAGTGCTAATCAAATCTCATCCTTTCCCATGCTCTCACAAAATTTCTTGATTTTAAAGACACTTTTTAATATTATAACTCTTAGATGGCATTTTATCACATCTTGACAATAGTTTATATTGACAATATGAGAGAAATGTGTTGAGGAAATGTAAATATGTTTCAAGTTATCTTAATGTAAATCCATAAATTCAAAATCTTTTTGGTTCTGTTATGTTTAGGCTCAAAATGAAGAGTAGCAAAGAATCAAACAAGCATTTTAGATCTAAATAGACACAATTCTTTAGAAGGGTAAATGCTTAAAATTCAAACTCCAGATAAAATCATGAGCTGAAGTTCTTCATCTTTATAATGATTTTCAATCACTATTAACAAACTTCCATAATTACTTACTGACTCACACACTTTTATTTACATTTACATAATGCCACGTTAGGGCTATAATTTAAATTGGTTTCTAATTACATCCAGTAATGTAAAGCTCATCCATCCCCATTTTATAAAAAAGCTTTTCATTTCTTATATGCAGCTATGTTAAGATGATAGAAATGGTTACCTTAGGCCTGGAGATGTGGCTCAAGTGGTAGAGTGCCTGCTGAGCAAGCACAAGGCTAAGATCAAACCCCAGTACTACCAAAAAACTGAAATGGTTGCCATATTTTTCCTTTAAAGCAAACTTTTTTAATACAGCCATTATTACTTAGTCAGTAGTCTAAAGCATCAAATAGGATCACTAAAACTAATGAACTCATTTTCTATTAATTAGAGAATTTTTTTCAATGAAAACAGAAAAAATAAACTCTTTTAAATTGTAGTATAAAGATATTTAGAAATGTGTGAATAGTTTGCCCCAAATCTAAGTTTAAGCATCTATACAGGCTTAGAGAAATACTATTACTGCAAAATAGCGCAGGCAAAATTGGCTTTAAAATGTTAAAGGAAGAAAAGAGAAAAGAATAGAGCAGAACATCCATGTTATAAATACAAAGAAATGCCACCTTGGAAGTTGCACATTATGGGAAGAGTAGTCAGCTATAGTTCCTTTTAAAGACTATAAGCTTTAAATTGGGCATGGTGGTATTGAGGGAGAAAAAAAGAAATAAAAGAAACCAACAAAAAAGGTGTGGGGAGGAAGTGTGGGGAAAATGAGAAAGGGTGGAACAAAACCCAGTCCAAATCCCCTCAGCCATATAGGACAGAGGAAGCCAGAAGGACAGGCTGGCACGAGATCCTATGGCCTGGCTCTCCAGCCTATTTGGATTCCAAATGGTGACTACCTCCTACCTTTTTGGTCAGCAGGGTGAGGGGGCACATGTGGGTACTTGGAGGGCTTCTTGATATGGAAGTTCACGTTGTCCAGCTCCACGTTCAGGCTGATAGAAGCGGCTGAGTCACTGTCCACTGTGGACTGGAAACTGCTGACTGATGTGCGCTTGCTAGGACTGGCAGAATCTTTTAGTGTCGGGAGGGGAAGGAAATATAGGGAGAGGAGGGGAGTAAAAATGGGTTTTATCAGGGATTGGAGGAAAGGAGAAAAATGGTTTTTTAATATACAAGCCCAATGTGCAATACCAAAATGGATACAGTATTTTCATGTACTTCTGTGTAGACTTAATGAAATTTGAACAAGTGTAAATCAATTTTTAATGAAGAAATATATTGGAGGTTCTGCAGAGAGAAAGTCTGATATCATAGTGAAGAAGTGAGAAAGTTGTCTACTGCGTATTAGCTCAAAGTTATTTTTAAGCTGCTGCAAACTAGACTAAGATAAAATCGGGAAGTGTCAGTTGCCTAGCAAGTTGGTTTCTTAAGAAAATACTGTATCTAACACAAGGATTGCTATCAAGATGTTTACATTTAGCAGGAGTCATAAATCTTAAATACAATTCAACTAAAAAACAAGACACTCATTTACAAACCAGTAATGATCCATAAAAACTAAAATGTTAGAAATTCCAACTCACTAGCCAAGTTATCGTCACCTTCTTCAGCTATTTGTTCTGTGTCGCTGTCATCAAACTTTATGTCTTTAAACCAAGATGGCTCAGAATGTCCTTCCACAGAGTTCACCGAGTCACTGTCTGGAGAAGGCGTCTCAGAAAATTCTGTACTCTGAAAGGATCAAGACAGGATCAAGCAACTGACCCCCAATGGCACAATGTTAAGGCTATCACAACATTTTGTAACCTAAAATTTCTACAAATAAATAGATTTATACAAAAACAACCAAATTAAAAACTAGTCAGCATCATACTAACAATTCTCCTTTTGTTTTTCCTTTTTTTGTGGTACAGGGGTTTAAACTCAGGTCTCACTTTGCAATTGCTAAGCAAGTGGTCTACCACTTAAGCCATGCCTCAGTCCTTTGTGTTTTAGTTTGCTTTTTAGATAAAGTCTTCCACTTTTACCCTTAGTCTGCAATCCTCCTATCTCTGCCTCCCAGTAGCTGATATTACAGTGTGTACCACCATACCCAGCTTGTTTTTAAGATAGGGTCTCACTGACTTTTACATGGGCTGGCCTCGAACCACAATCCTCCTATCTCCATCTCCCAAATAGATGGGATTACAGATGGAACTCACCACACCCAGTTAATAATTGCACTCTTAAAATTATAATCTTCATGAACTGGAACATTTAAGTCTCATATTATGAATGAAACATTTCTTTGATGTAGATTTTATAGGGTTTCATTTCATCCTTTAATCATGAGAGTGAAGATAAGCAAAGAATTTTTGTAACTCTGGCCCAACTCTAGAACACATCCTGAAAAACAACTGCTAGATTTTTTTAAACTGCACCAAACCAGTCTTTCAGGTCATTTGTATTTTCTAACTAATTCTCTAATTTTCATTCACAAAGATGGTATATATATAAACCAAGAGTAAAAGATATATGTCTCTTTTTAAAGTTCTATCTTTAGGTCATTCCATTTCCTGAAGCAAAAAAAGGCTATTTATCACTTTACCATTAATATACAATTTAATACTGCTAAAGAGTCAAAATCTAGGATGGGTAGAGTGGCTCAAGTGATAGAGCACCTGCCTAGAAGTGTGAGACCCTGAGTTCAAACCCTAGTACTGCCCAAAAAAAAAGAGTGAAAATCTATTTCAATAGTTAACATTAAGTTTTTCTATCATTTTATTATATATAAACTTCACTCTCTTAGTTCTACATAGTAAACGTGAAAACCATTAAAATTAAATGATAAATAACTACAATACCACAAAGCCAAGCTGAAGCAAAGCCACACCAAATAAATAAAGAATCTGATCCTAATAGTAGGTTTTTATCACTACTACTTACTAAATAAAACATGCTTAAATGAAAAAAAAAAAAAAACTAGCATTAATTAGGACTGGGAATATAGCTCAGTGGTAGAACACTTGCCCAACATGCACAAATCCCTGGATTTGAGCCCCAGAATGGCACCAAAAAAATTTTTTTTAAACTTTCCTCAAACATGAGGGAAAACATGCTACAAAAAAGTATCTCTGGTAATCCAACTACTTCTTATTACTCCTGAGGAAGAAATACATTCTCATCAGCAGTCAACACTGAAAATTACCTGCAGGGGTCTGTACAGTGCATACTCATCCCTGAAAAGCTGGTCATGATGACTAACACAATCCAACCAACGTCCATCAACCATTGCTTGTCCAATTGCTATAGCTTGTGCCCTGAATCAACACCAAGACAAAACAAAAATATCTAAAATGTTTAAAAGTCAATCAGAATCATTTTACAGGTGCACAATAAGACACTATCTAATTTGTTGTTTAGCCCAATCAGAGTTGGAATTTCAAATGGTCCTTGGATAAGTAAGAGATAAAAAAGAGAAACTTGAAGCAAATTTAAACTCTTCTAGGTACCATAGTAAAGGAGAAGAACCTACTGGTAGGATAGTTCTAAAAAAACCTAAATTTTAATTATAAAGAACATTTATTGAGTACTCGATCTATGCACACCCTTATCCTTAACAGAGAAGTAAAATATATTGAGATTAGCCTGGCTCAAACAGTCAAAGAACATACAATCTTGATGAGAAAACAATACCAAATATTACAGATATAGATAAAAAAGTGTGTGTATAGAGACATGGATGAAATAGACACTTAACATATTGTATAATGTGGCAAATTTACAAACCACTTAGCCAATATTATTTTATGTCATACCTATATCTTGTTCACAATACCAAATATTTTTCCCACATTGCAACTAAGGGGTCCAAATCTCAAAGTGACTGAATAATTTGATGCAAGGCACAAAGCTAAAAGAGATACAGGCACAATTGAAACACGGGGCTTCACTGCTTAAAGCTGTTTCTCTATTCACTTGTTCGTATATTTGTTTCTTTGTATGAGAGGAGAAGCAGCCCATGTGCAAGCAGCAAAAGTCAGAGGATATGTTAACTTGAAAGGCCTCAAGTCCTGTCTGTTATTCTTTTTTACATGATTTGTGAGACAAGGTAGGACCTGAAGCATGGCTTGTAAACCCAATTCTCAGTGGTTTGCAATGTCTGAATCAAAGAACAGTACCAGGAGAATCCTTAGACCTTATCCTCTTAGCTATGTTCTCCCATTCTGCTTTACTGTGTTTGGGGAATTACTGCATACTTTCACTTTTCATATGCTAAGTTGTGACCCCCACTTGGCTCCTTGCAACTACTCTCTAATGATTAAAGTCCAGGTGGGAGGAAAGTTGAATAATTAGTTCCCCAAACTATTAAATACAGAAAATAGCACCCTAACTCATAAAGAAATGTGTTACTCTTACACCTTCAAATATATATCATTGTTTTAAAAAATTAATAAATAATTTCAAGATCTCTTTCTTAAGATCATAGTACCTTGTAGCAATGTGTCCATTTCGGATAAGCCAGTTGACTAACTCCTTTCCTACAATGCAGTTGGGATGCGTTCTCAGCCAGTAGCGGTGATCCTGAAACTCCATTCCACTACTATGATGGCAGATTTTTTTCCACAGATCCTTTAACTGAACACTGTCCTGCAATCACATTAGGAGCAAGTAATTAATCCTAAGAAGGATGCTATAAACCTTTTTAGATGCTTTCCTGTGACTTTGAGATTCATGAAAGGAACTTTGATTTAGATTTTTTGATAGTAGCTGACTTGGGCGATTTAGTATGAATAACACAAACATGGAAAACAGCTTAAACTCAGCTCATCTGATTCCAAGCATGTTTTCTCTTGAAAACCAACTAAGCCAAGTACTTCTTTTTTCAGTCAACGGCACATATTATCAGTCTTCTAGTTAAGTGCAAAATAACAATTTGCTTTGGAGATGGGGAAAGGAACTTAGAAGCACTAGTCAATGCACTAATATAAGATAGCTGTAACTAGGAGCCTTCACTCCATCAGATTCTAATCATTCTTACCCACTTGCTGGGAAAATTTTCCAAAAGAAAGGCCTTCAGTGAAAACTTTCAACATCGCTCAGCAACTACAGGTGCAAGTCTAATTGTAAGAAACAACTGAATTCATCACCTTTCACTGGGTAGTCTCAAATAGCTTTCCATTCTCACTGTCAATAGACTCCAGATTAAACTCTCTCAACTAATAAGTTCTACTTCAGTCCATGGAAAATATCACACTTACATACCTTTTCTCACATCTGTCTTTCTAAATCCATTCCATCCTCTGAGGTTCAGTTCAAGCCCTTTGGTCCTGACTCTCTCACAATTAATGATCTATTTTTAAAATTTTTCAATGACATATAGTTATACATTTGATACTCTTCATTTGATACTCTTTTTTATTACCAAAATATTAGTTCTTTTACAATGAAGGACCTTCCTGTTGATCTGATTTCCACCTTTTTTTTTTTTTTTTTTTTTTCAGTACTGGGGCTTAAACTCAGGGCCTTCACCTTGAGCCACTCCACGAGCCCTATTTTTGTGAAGAGTTTTCTGAGATAGAGTCTCATGAACTATTTTGCCCAAGCTGGCTTCGAACCACAATTCTCTGATCTCTGCCTCCTGAGTAGCTAGGATTACAGGTGTGAGCAACTGTCGCCCAGCCAATTTCTACCTTTTTAATTATAAGCATGAGGACAGAGACATGTTTTCTATTTATTTGGGTCAGTGTTAGAGTTGAACATAGTACTTTACAAAATAAATAATCTAAAGAAACAACTGATTATTATCTCATATAAACATAAAATTAAATATCTGAAGTTTCCATGTGTATTAGCAGCATGTTTCAAAGTTTAAATAGCAAGTTGGGACCTAAGTAAAAGTTAAGCTCTCTTATTATATGGCAACTGAATTCTGATGTTGCCAAATGAAAGGGGTAAAGAAAATACACTGACTTTTTTTTTCTTTTGAGACACAGTCTCACTATTTAGCCAGGTTGGCCTTAAACTTGAGATCATCCTGCCTCAGCCTCTTGAGTGCTGACACTATAGGCATGCACCACAACCCTGTGATCTATAGTCACCAAGCTGATTATTTCATTTAATGGGTTTTAAAAAAAAAAAAAGATCAATGAGATAAACAGTCTTCATCCTCAAAACTAGCAATAGTTTTGGACTATACCAGAAGAATTTTACGTTCATCCTCTGTGGTCTCTGTCCTAACATATGTTCGATTAGCCTGGGGACTGACAGATGTCTCATATGAAGATACCATTGGAGAACCAGATCGATCCAATGACAGGTTAGTAATGCTGGCTGATCTGGAATAAAAGCAAAAACAAAAAGTAATAACACAGTTGTAAATTCTTCACCAGTAAACAGAGTTATAATGAAAATTTACATTCAAATAAATTCTTAGTTACTGTTAAAGGTACTTTTTAAAGCAATGGTGGTTATGTACAATGTTAGCATTGGGAAAAACTGATAAAAGGATACTTAGAAATTCTCCATATTATTTGCAACTTCTATGTGAGTCTAAAATTATTTTGAAATGAGTTTAACAGGAACTAGTAATGGAAAGATTACAAAAAAACTATAGAATATATATATTGGTAATATTCCAAGTGAAGTGGATATAACTGTTGCTAAAAACACTAGAAATTCTTTTTTTAATTGAGAAAGATAAAGAATGGCAACTGTATATAGAAATAATCTTGCATAGAAGGGTTAAAAAAACTATGTCAAATCTAGCCTACTTCCTGTTTTGGTAAATACTCAAGGAACTAAGAATCATTTTTATAGCTAAACATCTTATAATCAGTCTGACAATAGAAAACACTAATTTTGAACTCCAACTAAGTGAAATGTTATGCTCTAAGAAAGAATTCATTTTTCCTCATTAATAGACCTATATTTAAAATATTATCCTAAAATATTATTATATTTTTATTTTATCAGTAAAAATTTATTAGTGGGAATGCGTTTCTTCTCATTATGTAAGTACTTACATATATCCTTAATTTTGCCCCTTAGCAAAGTTAACAAATGGCTTATAAGTGAAATAGCAACATCATCAAGCAAACTTTTATTTAAAAAAAAAATTAGCTAGAAATTTACCTCTACATAGAAATAAATGAAACTCAATTTTGGCAATATAAAGAATAAAAGGCAGAAGCATCTAGATACTACATAACTCATTCATTAGGACAAAATATATGTTCTCTCATTCAATTCTCATAGCATTCTATGGAATACGCATTACTAATTCCATTTTGTGGATAAATTAGGAATCAGAGATTAAGCAATTTGAGTGAAGTAACTGAGTTAATACATGTAAGGGCTGCCACTGAAAACTAGGTGTCAATTGAAAAATCATTCTCTCTAGTATAAAGATAAAATATTTTTAAATAACTTAAGAAATTATTCATGGGTTAAACAGTCATTATCAATGATTAATAGATATGGCACCCCAACCCAGGGCTAAATCCTCAGGACATGGGTGACACATATTATCACTCCAGGATCCCTGTGTCTCTTGTCATCCAAACCTCCATCAGTATCTAAGCTCAGTGAATTAAAAAAAAAAAAAATCAGTTAAATTGGAATCTTCATAAATATCAAACATTAAATTTTTAACATAAACATAAAAAACAGTTAATGAGAAACCACTGATATCAAACAGTCTCTAAGCAATATTTTTAAAATAATCATTTCTTAGCATATACTCTTGTAGTGAAAGATTGCCATTATGTCATATCCAATTAATTTAATCCCTTTTCCAATGGGTGCATTAAGTCATGTATTCTGCTTCTCTAACATTCAGACACTCCCGCATATATTCTAATACATAGCAATACAAATAAAGTAGTTAATTTTGCTGTCAAATCTTCTAGTATATATGCTTTGGCAAGGATGCTGATTAAAATTATATTTAAACAGAGCATACATTGAGGAAATTATATCTCTTCCTCATCTTAACAGATCAGAGTATAACTCCACTCTCCTTGAAAACCTTTCTTCACTTGGCTGCTAATACAAACACCCTTCTGGTTTTCCTCTCACCTCACTGGCCTCTCCATCTGTTACCTTTTCTGGTTCCTTTTCACTTCCCAATCTCAGTCCGTGGTCCTATTGCCTATCTTCTCACACTCTTCTCTTGATCATCTCCATCTGTGTTCCTAGCTTTAAATACTATTCAACATTATGACTACACCCTAAATTCCATATATCCAACATCTCTCTTGAATATCTAGAAGGTATCTCAAATTCAACATGTCTAAAACATCCTGTCCTCCTCATCTCAATAAAAGGTAATTTCATCCTTCCAACTGCTCACAGGCCAAAAACCTGAGTTATCTTTGATGTCTCTTTCTGTTGTAGCCTATGTTTAATTAATTAGTAAGTCCTGCTATCTGTATTATCAAAATATATGTAAGTTCTGACCATTTCTCATCTGCACCACCACCAGCACGCCTTCCCTACACTGATCTAACTCAATTCTCTTACCTAGATTACTGTACCAACTTTCTACTCTTATGTCACACAATCTACTCAACAGAGCAGCAGAATGCTCCTTTCAAAACAAACTTCAGGGGGTTAGTGATATAGCTTAGTGATACAGAGTTTGCCTAGCATGTGCAAGACCCTGACTGCAATCACCAGCATCTCAAGGGAAAAACAAACATTAATTCAGATCATGCCATCCTTCCAACTCAAAACTCTCCAATAAGGGAAAGCTTTTTTTTTTTTTTTTTTTTGAAGTGAGACTTTGGTTTGAACAACTTCACCCTTGCAAAGCAGGCATCCTACCATCTAAGCCACACCTTCAGGTCATTTTGCTCTGATTATTTTGCAGATGGGATCTTGAGAACTATTTACCTGGGCTGGCCTCGAACCATGATCGTCCTGATCTCAAGTAACTAGGATTGCAGCCATGAGCCACTGGCGCCCAGCTAAGGGAAGGCTTTTATAGAGTAGGATGTTAACTAACAAGTGTAGAGGGAATGATGTAATTACAAAAATCACCATTTTTTAACCATCATAGTAATATTTGATTTGAGCAAGAATCATAAATAGATGTTAAAACTACTGAATGAAAGACTGATAAGGAGGATATTTGTGCAGTTTCAAAGTAGCTCCCTCACATATCACTTATAAATTAAGAGGAAAAAAGTATCTTTACAATGGAAAAACCTAGAACATAACCTTAGATAAGAGATAAAGTCAACATCATCAATGGGATAAACTTATATACATCCTTTCTAACATGACAGGTAGATACTGTATAGTATCCTGCCAAAAAAAAAAAAAATTTAAAATGCATAGCCTAAATCTAGTCACAAGGAAGCATTTGACAAAACCAAACTGATGGACATTCTACTAAATATTTGGCCTATTTCTTCACAAATACCAATCACAAAAAATAAAGAAAATGAATTGTTACAGAATGAAAAAGACCAAAAGTCACAACAATTAAATGTAATGCATGATCCTGGACTAGACCACAGACTAGGGGAAAATTAGGACAAGGGACATTATAAGAACAGTGGCAAAAATAGAATACATACAATTATATTAGATGATAGAAACATCGCCATTACAATTTCCTGGATTCATACAATGGCGATACAAGGGAACCTGATTATTCTGAGGAAACATCCTTAAATAATAAAGTAAAAAATAGCACTTCCTGTTTCTAGCCTGGCAGGTGAGGATCTCAGAAGTCTTTATTCTGTCCTAACAACAATAAAAGTCAGAAATCTTCTTAAATCTGTCAGAGAAATGACATCATGGCACAAACTGCCACCCCCGCCCCCAATTACAGAGACAGACAAGTGAACACAGCCAAGCACAATTTACTCCACCTGAAACTCATAAGAAGAAACATCTCTGGGAAACAGCATTAGGGTAGGAAAACCTAAGCTGTAACTGATAATTCTTAGAGATCAAAAAGCTAGATGAATCAAGTCATAGGTGCAGGGAGCACATGCTTGTGAGTTTTATTTCCAAGAACTCTACCCAGGCCTTCACAGTGAAGGTCAAAGACAAATCTCCTCTAGCTTCCACAGAAGGAAGACAAAAAATAGAAACAGTTTTGAAATATGCCAGAGAGTTCTGTTGTGTTTTTTTGGTGGCACGAGGGTTTGAACTCAGGGCCTCATGCTTGCTAGGCAGATGCTCTTCTATTGAGCCACTCTGCCTACCCTGTTTTGTGATTTTTTTTTTTTTTCCAAATAGGGTCTCAGGAACTATTTGCCTGGGACTGGCTTTGAACCACAATCCTCTTCATCTCTGCCTCTCAGTAGCTAGGATTACAGGTATGAGCCACTGTGCCCAGCAGTTCTGTTGTTCTTAACAAGACCTGCCTTGTGTAGAAACTACGTTATCAGAACAAAACTTGGTAAATATCAGAACCTAACCCACCCAGGGAAGGGAACTATCCAACTCTAGCTCCATCTAGCCTTCCATGTAGGGGAAGAAAAACACCCAACTCCAATTTCCTCTAGCCTTCCTATCCCATCTGGAAAAGTGGGGAGGAGTGAAAAGTACTTATGAAGTTCACAATCCTAGGGCACAAGCTCTCCAAAAGACTATAATCATAGGACTACAAAATACTTTCCTTTTCCCCACTTCTTATCACTACATGACTAAAAGCCTAAACCAGTTTTGATTTTTTTTTCTCAGTGCAGAGGCCTTGTGTATGTTACGTAACTGTTCTCCCACTGAGCTACTCCCCTAATCCTTCATTATGTCTACCTATAACAAAAAAAAAAAAAAAAAATCACAAGGCATTGTAAAAGGCAAAAACAGTTTGGAAACATTAAACAAACACAAGAAACAGAATCAGACATGGCACAAATGTTGGAATGATCTGTGAAGAAATTTTAAAAATGATGATTACTATGCTACAGGTATTAATGGAAAAACTAAACAACATGCAAAACAGATGAGGCAAAAATTGTAGCCTTTATTAGAGATGAATGGATACAGCACAGAGAATAGTAAGGACAAACTCAAACCCACTAACAAAATCCATCTGAATATAATAGACATCCATAAACTGCTTCATCTAACAAAACATAATACACATTCTTCCCAAGTTCACAAATGTAGACCACATGCTGGACTCTGTTGCTACAACAAAATAGCTGAAGCTGGGTCTTTATAAAGAAAAGAGGTTAGTTTAGCTCATAGCCTGGAGATTCAAAAGCATGGTGCCAGGATCTGTTCAGCTCTGGTCCGGGCCTTCTTGGCTACATGGCAACATGGCAGATGGCACCATGGTGAGAGCACACATGAGCAGGAGAGATCACATGAAAAA